TGTCAGAATTTCATTTAGTTCTGCTTTGATCTTTGTTATTTCTTTTCATCTGCTGCATTCTGGTTTGGTTTGTTCTTGTTTCTCTGGTTCCTTGAGGTATGACTCTAGATTATCTATTTGTACTCTTTCAGGCCTTTTGATGTAGGCATTTAATGCTATGAACTTTCTTCTTAGCATCACCTTTGTTGTATCTCAGAGGTTTTATAGGTTGTGTCTCTATTACCGTTCATTTCAAAGAATTTTTTAGTTTCCATTTTGATTCATTATTGACTCAATGATCATATGGGAGCAGGTTATTTAATTTCCATGTATTTCCATGGTTTTAAGGTTCCTTTTAGAGTTGAGTTCCAATTTTATTCCACTGTAGTCTGAGAGAGTACTTGATTTTTTTTAATTTTTGAGACTTGTTTTGTGGACTATTATATGGCCTATCGTGGAGAATATTCCATGTGCTGATGAAAAGAATGTATATTCTGCAGTTGTTGGGTAGAATGTTCTGTAAACATCTGTTAAATCCATTTGTTGTAGGGTATAGCTTAAGTCCAAAAATTTTTGTTTGTTGACTTTCTGTCTTGATGACTTGTCTAGTACTTTCAGTGGAGTATTGAAGTCAACCAGTATTATTGTGTTGCCATCTATCTTATTTCTTAGGTTTAGTAGTAATTGTTTTATAAATTTGGGAGCTCCAGTGTTAGGATTGTGATATTTTCCTGTGGGACTAGTTCTTTTAGCATTATATAATGTCCCTCTTTGTCTTTCTTAACTGCTATTGCTTTAAAGTTTGTTTTGTCTGATGTAAGAATAGCTACTCCTGCTCCCTTTTGGTGTCCTTTTGCATAGAGTATCTTTTCCTACCCCTTTACTTTATGTTTATGTGAGGCCTTATGTGTTAGGTGAGTCTCTTGAAGACAGTAGATACTTAGTGGATGAATTCTTACTCATTTTGCCATTCTGTATGTTTTAAGTGGAGCATTTTGACCATTTACATTCAGTGTTAGTATTGAGATGTGAGGTACTATTCTATTCATCATGCCATTTGCTGCCTGAGTATCTTACTTTTTTAATACTGTGTGGTTGTTTTATAAGTCCTACAACATTTATGCTTTAGATGTTTTATGTTCTATTTTGGTGTATTTTGAGGATTCATTTCAAGATTTAGAGCTCTTTTCAGCAGTTCTTGTAGTGCTGTCTTGGTAGTGGCTATTCAGCATTTGTTTGTCTGAAAAAGACTTGATCTTTCCTTCATTTATGAAGCTTAGTTTCACTAGATACACATTCTTGGCTGATAATTTAGAAGGCTAAAGATAGTACTCCAAACCTTCCTAGTTTGTAGGGTTTCTGTTGAGAAATCTGCTTTTAATCTGATAGGTTCCTTTATAAATTACCTGATACTTTGCTTCACAGCTCTTAAGATTCTTTTCCTCATCTTGACTTTAGAATGCGTGGTGATTATGTGCCTAGGTGATGATCCTTTTGCAATGTATTCCCTGGGTGTTCTTTGAGCTTCTTGTATTTGGATGTCTAGATCTCCAGGAAAGTCAGGGAAGTTTTCCTCAATTAATCCCTCAAATATGTTTTTCAAACTTTTAGATTTCTCTTCTTCCTCGGGAACACCAGTTATTCTTAGGTTTGGTTGTTTAACAGAATCCCAAACTTCTTGGAGGCTTTTTCATATATATATATTTTTTTTGAGACAGACTTTCACTCTTGTTGCCCAGGCTGGAGTGTAATGGGGCGATCTCGAATCACTGCAACCTCCACCTCCCAGGTTCAAGCAATTCTCCTGCCTCAGCCTCCGTAGTAGCTGGGATCACAGGTGCCTGCCACCATGCCCAGCTAATTTTTTGTATTTTTAGTAGAGACGGGGGTTTCACTGTGTTGGCCAGGCTGGTCTCGAACTCCTGACCTCAGATCCACCTGCCTCAGTCTCCCAAAGTGCTGGGATTACAGGCGTGAGCCATTGTGTCCAGCAGCTTTGTTCATTTTTAATTCATTTTTCTTCATCTTTGTCAGATTAGGTTAATTCACAAACCTTGTCTTCAAACTCTTAAGTTCTTTATTCTACTAGTTTGATTATATTGCTAAGACTTTCCAGTGTCTTTGGATTTCTCCAAGTGCATTCTTCATTTCCAGAAGCTGTGATTTTTTTTTTTTTTTTTTTTTTTTTACGCTATCTATTTGTTTGGAGATTTTTCCATCCATGTCCTGTAACATTTTTTTTAAATTTATTTAAGTTGGTACACCTTTCTCTGGTGCCTGCTTGGGTAGTTTAATAATCAACCTTCTGAATTCTTTTCTGGCAATTCAGAGATTTCTTCTTGGGTTGGATCCATTGCTGGTAAACTAGTATAATCTTTTGGGAGTGCTAAAGAACCTTGTTTTGTCATACCAGAATTGTTTTTCTGCTTCCTTCTCATTTGGGTATACTATGTCAGAGGAAACATCTGGGACTCAAGGGCTGCTGTTAGGATTTTTTTTGTCCCACAGGGTGCTCCCTTGATGTAGTGCTCTCCCCCTTCCCCAAAGGATGGGGCTTCCTGAGAGCTGAACTACAGTGATTGTTATTTCTCTTCTGGATCTAGCCACCCAGCAGATCTACTGTACTCCAGGCTCCAGGCTGATACTGGGTAGTGTCTGCAAAGAGTCCTGTGATGTGGTTCGTCTTCAGGTCTCTCAGCCATGGATATCAGTACCTGCTCCAGTGGAGGTGGCAAGGCAGTGAAGTGGACTCTGTGAGGGTCCTTGGCTTTAATTTTGTTTATTGGGATAGTTTTGTGTTGGTTGTCCTCCAGCCAGGAGGTGGAGGTGTTAAGAGAGCATCAGCTGCAATAGTATAGGGAGGATACAAGCTTGCCCTAGGGTCACTTGGATAAGATTTGAGTTTCTCAGGTGGTGGGTGGGGCCAGGGCAGGTAGAGAAAGACCATCAGGTGGGGGCAGGTTCAGATTCCCCTTGGACAGGGATAGCTGTGCCTGCTGTAGGGGATGGGGTGTGATTCTCAGGCCAATGGATTTATGTTCCCAAGGAGATTATGGCTGCCTCTGCTGTGTCATGCAGGTTGCCGTGCAAGTGCTGGAAAGCTGGCAGTTACAGGCCTCATCCAGTTCCCACACAGCCTGAAAGGCCGATCTCACTCCTACCATGCCCCCACCAACAGCACTGAATTTATTTCCAGACAGCAGGTGAGCAGAGCTGAGAATCTGCTACCAATCTCCCTGCCGAGAAAGCAAGCAGGGCTTTCTACCTGCCCTGGTAGCCAGAAGACAAAGGACATAATCTCTTGGGAGCTCTGTGGCCCCACCCACCACCTAAGAAACTCAGATCTTATCCAAGTGACCCTAGGGCAAGCTTGTATCCTCCTTGTATTATTGCAGGTGATGCTCTCTTAAAAGCTCCACCTCCTGGCTGGAGGACAACCAACACAGGGAGGTTTCAAGCCTCCCTGCCTGCTGTGGCTTCTGTGCTGGTGTCTGCACTCCCAGTTCACCCCCTCCCCTGGGTTCCGTCCAGGAAACTGTGTTCCATCAAAACTTCAGCTGGAAGTTTTCTTCTCCCTGTGGTCTTTCCCCAATTCCACTGGCAGCCCTCCTGAAGGACCTTTGTGAGACAAAGTCAGAAATAACTTCCCTGGGGACTGAGAGAGCCCACAGGGCTCTTCCTGCTACTTCCTGTACCCCTGAATTTTGCTCAGCTCTCTAAATTCACCTCAGCTCCGGGTAAAGTCAGATCCTTCTCTCAAGATCTAGACCTTCAGGTTCCCCACTGAGGATGTATGTTCAGGGGTGGATGATCCCCTTTCACACTTTCACACTTTGGGCACTCATAGTTTTTTGGCTGTCTCCTGGAGCCTGCAGCAGCAATCCATTTCCTTCAAAGATGCCATTTTGAATATCCTCACATTTAAATAGAAAAACCTATTAAGATATATTAAGAGAATGATGTTCCTAATAGGTTTCAAAGGGATATAAAACCCATGGTAAATAATAAAATATTTGAAGAAATTAGGAGGGTGGGGAACCAATATAATGCAGTGGTCAAAAGCAAGGGCTTTGCAGTAGGATAGACTTGGTCCACATCTGGCACATTAGTTTCCTGATATTGGGAAAATAGCTTAAATATTTCTCATAAGATTGGTTTAAAAATTAAATGAGATAATGGATATACATTTCTTATTCCATTGCCTTGTACGTTATGGAAAATCAACATGCAATAGGTCCTATGGCTCGAAGCAAGATAAAGACGAGCATTGGAAAGATTTCTAGGGAGAGAAGACATCACATGCAAATGTTAAAGTGTGAAACAGCATGGCCGGGCGCGGTGGCTCACGCCGGTAATCCCTGCACTTTGGGAGGCGGAGGCGGGCGGATCACGAGGTCAGGAGATCGAGACCATCCTGGCTAACACGGTGAAACCCCGTCTCTACTAAAATACAAAAAATTAGCCGGGCGCGGTGGCGGGCGCCTGTAGTCCCAGCTACTGGGGAGGCTGAGGCAGGAGAATGGCGCGAACCTGGGAGGTGGAGCTTGCAGTGAGCCGAGATGGTGCCACTGCACTCCAGCCTGGGCGACAGAGTGAAGACTCCGCCTAAAAAAAAAAAAAAAAAAAAAAAAAAAAGTGTGAAACAGCATAGTGAGTTCTGTATAACATTGGTATATGTAGAAAGGTATAGGAAAATGATGCAAGACAGGTAAAAAGCAGCCCTCCAACAAGCTGGCTTTTGTCATAAAGACAGAAATGGAGTCTCCAATGTAAAAATATCAGTAAGTAAATATTGAAAGATTTTAGGAAGAAGAATGCTTGATCATTTCACATTTCAGCAAAAAAAAAAAAAAAAAAAAAAAAAAATTGACAATTGCCTGGAGGGATACATTAGAGAGAGACCATGTTTGGAAGTAATGAGACCTATTAGAATCTAATAAAGGATGGTATTCTCACAAATGAAAAGATGTTGTGCTTCCTCTAATATTGAAAACCATTAAACAGAAAATGAATACTTTCAGGTAAAGAAAAAACCAAACCCAAAAAACAATGACCCTAAGAGCATGAAGCCACCCCAGGAGCAGAGTCAGCTTCCAAATCCTTCAGAGGCCGGCAAAACCTTCCCTGAGAGCCATCTTCAGACTCCTCAGATGCCGCCAACAACTCCATCCAGCAGTTTCTTCATCAAGGTACAATTTCCTGAGTCCCATACCTCATTCCTCCCTATCATAATTTACAGGGATCATTAGACTGTTGGAAGAGCTACTGCTGTAATCTCTGTCTACAATCTTGGTATGAAATTATGCCACTCAATCATTTGTTGAATTCGTACAGTGAGATAGCACCACATCATAATCTTTACTATCTAAAAGGCATTCATTTATATAATGATTTCTAACTTTAAGAGGATTATTATCTTGTATTGCTCCTGTTGTAGAGAGGGTAAGAGAGAATGGCCAGGCAAGCGGAGATGAAGACAAGAATGTGTTCAGATCCTACATTCCAGTTCCTTTTACCTATTTCCTCTTTGCTTATTAGTAATATTTCTGATTTTACTTTCAAAGTTCCAAGTTCCTACCCCCATTACATATTTTGACACATGCTATTTTCTTGATGGGTATCTATTTCTCCTATATCATCACTGGTGGGAATCTCCTCAAATTTTACATGCCAACTTAAATTTTTTCCTCTGGCAAGTTCTCACTGATACAAGATACTGGAACTGATGAGTCCTCCCATTCTTTGCTTTCACAGAGTTTCCTGTTAATGAGATTAAATTACTAATTTCATAGATGTGAACAGAGACTTACTTCATAATGTGTTCTCCCTACTTCCTTGATCTGAGATTTTCCTTAACAGGGTCAGCATCACTCAGGTTATATCTGTGGACCAGAGAAAACCTACAAATTCAGCCTAGAACATGGAGCAACAATGACAATAATTCTGTTTCTACTTTTTGAGCACTTAACTAGATGTTGGTTCTCACGTGTTGTTGCTGATGTACATTATCTCATTCTCTCTTCATAACCATTAGGAGGAGGCTAATTCTGCCCCAATTCACAGAGAAGAAAATAGAGGTACACAAAGGTTAAAAATCTTCCTCAAGCCTTCAAGAAAGTTAAGAGTCATTATTCGTATCCAGTCTTATTTAAACCCAAAACTTGAAAAATTAATGATTATATATGGCTTTAGATGAGGAATTTATATATGCCATGTCAGTAATTTATTTATTGGTTGCACAATGGTTGCATAGCACACACTTTGTAAACCTTCTGATAACAAATGTGGTGACCAGTGGTGATCAGAGTGTGTTCTAATAAGTAAACCACTCTCCAGAAGTAGAATCCTTTCATTTGCCTTTCTAACAGAGTGCATTTTCTATATTACGTAACTGAATGACAGAAGTGATAGAACTATGGAAATTTAACTAGTATTAATAAATTTTAAAAAAGATTTAAAAATAGTGAAAATAAAGGAAGTTATACTTCCTTGCCCTCGGTAAAGAGTATTTTTAAAAAATCACTTACTTGGTAATGCTAAGGTAAGTTCTTGCATATTTCTAAATACATTTGAGAACTTTGAAGGATTCTAGCTGGCTGATGCAGACTACAAAATAGCAGAATTCTGCATCTGCAATTGTGAATTTTAAAGAATCTTTCTAGCAAAGTGATGATCAAAACATCTAAAGCAACATAAAGAGTAATTTTATCAAATAAAATTTATGTGATTAAGTTTCTCAGTATTAATTAAGTATATTCGTTGAGACCTTACTAGTCTCTGTGTCTTGATGTTTACAAGGTATGCGTTCATGAAGTGCTTCCTGACTCAAGAGGATTACTGTCTTTTGTTGATCTAGGTTTGGAGAGAGATTGTGGGGAAGTAGCCAAATGGAGGAAGATGAATACAAGAATATGTTCATTATCTTTATTCCAGTTACCTTTCATCCTTTCACTTCGTTCATGACCACATTCCAGGTTTTATTTTAAACTATCCATGGTCTTATCCAAATCAGAAGCTTTGACATATAGATTGCTTCTTTTGCTGGGATCACTTTCTCCAGTCTCTTCTCTAACTCAACTCTCCACAGGCCGTAGCCTAAATCCCTTCCTAGAGCAAGTCCTCACTGGCACCCACATTTCAGATTAGATGAGATCCTCCCATTTTTGGTTCTCTCTGGTTCTCCGTTTATGAGCTTTCCTAGCTCCCTTTACTTTTCCTAATAGCATTTAAACAATTGGAATGTGGGAGTGATTTTCTCCTTTTCTATGCCATAAGCTCAGATGGTAGGTAGCATCTACCCCAGAGGAATACAATACAAGAGGGGAAAAAGTCAGTTCATGCTATGTACATCAATTCTTATTCCAGATTACCTTTTGCTCAGCAGTGATATGACCCTTGTAGTCACCTGCACTGAGGGTTCAGAAGCCTGTACCTGTGGTGAAGGGGCAGGAAACTTGGAGGAAAAGCAAAAGGAATTAAATCATTATTTTTTATAGTTGTTTCTCACCCAAGCCCCAAGCTGCATTCTGACCCAGCGGCAGATACCTGCAGCCACCATGCACACATCTTGGAAGAGAAGCTTCCTATATTTAAGGATTCTCTATTTTGATTTTTTTTGTTTGTTTGTTTTCATTGTTGTAATTTTTAGTTAGCTTCAAAAAGCTGTATTTCCCTCCATAGTTTATGCAGGTGTTTGAAGAACAGAACCTGCGCCTTTTTGCCATCTGGGCACAGGTGGCTATGGAACGAGCCCTTGCTCAGTCATTGCAACCTAAGATCCATTTTATTTGTGCCTTTTCAATGACTTAAGTGGCATCTCCAAACAACTATGCTTTTATCACTCATATTTCTTTGAAAGGATTATGTGAGAATTTCTAAGTCCCATCTGCTAAAATATGAATCACAATCCTTGCTACAGCTGTACAAATGATTGTGCTGTATGTGAACTTCCCTGGAGCACAGGAATCCCAGGAGGATCGTATGCCTTCATGGCAGCCATTTATTCTTGGGTGTCCAGCTATCGCTTGTAAATACAGTGTCTAACTACTTTCTTGGTGACTCCCCAGATGAGCATAGTCTTGTTCCACTGATCATCGGGTTTCCTCAGATTTTCTCTATGGTATATGTTCTATATTCATTGAGATTTAAAACTAGCAGCCTATTCTTACCATTGATTTTTTTCTGCTCTGTAGACCTAAAGCAAGAAGCACAAATTGACATGAATCAGGAGCAGGGATGGGAGGGGAGATAATTACTCTGAGAAAAAAATTACATAGTGATTTAAAATATTATTCAACCAAAGATTATATTTTTCTCATCTAATTCTACTCTTGTTACGGGACTGTTTAACTGAAATGAATCTGAGAAGATAATACTCCAAGGTGTTCTTGCCAATAAGTGGCAGAAATGAATACAGAAGTTCCTTTAATAAAAAGCTTCCCATACCAATTCGATCTAAGATTTCTGTCAACAAGGTAAACAGAATATGAGACAGTGGTTAATCAGAGCACACATACAAATCCCTGCAGAGACAGGGTAATAACAGTAACAGAAAGTGTATTTCTACTTTTTAAGCACTTACTAGGTGCTGGTTTTAAAACCTGTGTTCTTTATGTATATGATTACATTCTTTCCTCATAACAGTCATGATTGATGCTATTCTCAGCTCTCATTTTGCATAAGAGACAACCAAGATAGAGTTTTAAAATATTCCCCAAAATTCACAGGCAGTGAGTGTGCTAAATGTAAATTATGTGCACTTTATGTACTTTTTCTTATCCATTCTTCCTTACATCACCCAGGTGATGTTATTGTTAGTCACATGTCACATTTCTTAACACCAAGGATCTTAGAGGTCAAAACTTTACTCAAGATAATAATGATTTTTAGTGTTAGAGCCAAGATTCAAATCCAGCCTTAATGAACCCTAAAGCTTCAGCATTTGATGATCACATATTGCTTCCAAAGTCAGAATATAGATGTTGAACTGTCTCATATATTTACATATGTTTAAAATTAGACATTGTTTTTGTTTGCATTTGTTTTCATAATCTAGTTTCTGCAAGGCTCCTAAGGAAAAATTACATGCTGTAAGTCTCTGTATCATCCCATGTTTTACATTGCCGTGTTAAGACCCCTGTGTTCATCTGCACCCAATAATCAGATGCTGTATCTTCAGTGGAAGTCAAAAGAAAAATTAGATGACAATTTTCCAAGCTAGTGTCTCATCTAGGTGCCAATTGCACTGTGACCACACTGTTTTCTAATGACTCGTCCCTGTGTACCAGTTGAAGACAGGTCTCCCATGTACAGAGTTCTCAATTTTTCATGTTGTTTTGTTGTTGTTATTGTCCTGACTGGTAAATTCCAAAATTTATATTTCCCTATATACTTTCTAAGAGTTTTATATGTCGTATAGTGCTACCTATCATGCCTGTTTGCCATCTTGCTTCAGGTGGATAGATAGAGGCTGTGCCTAGTAAAGTCATTATCCGCTCTGATCTTCTCTGCTATTTTAAGGACAAAATTGGACATCTCAGGACAGTCAGTTTTCTGATGCATAATGACTTGAAAGAAAGTTCCCAATTGCCTAAATATGTGACATAGCAATTTCTGCAGCCATAGGAATCATCATGCTGTGCCTAAAGACTCTAGGACAGGGATTCTAGAAAGAAGCACGTGTCTCCATGGCCACCAATGCTTAATAACACAATGCATTACTTCTGCTTTGGTGACCAGCCCACAGGTTGTCTCACCACTCACTCTAAGATTGACCAGCTGAGCAGGAAAGCATTGTCCTTACTCATCATGGCTTCTCCCAAAGATTTTGTGTATGATATGGGTTCATTGTGCTTTTGGATTCAAAACGTGAAGAAGACAGAAGCATGACCTTTAGTCATGACTCCTCTGAAGCACAGATCACATAATGGCCTGAATCGTGATCGGGTATGGTAGCAGGGATTAATTACTATGAGACAAACAATCAGCTACTGTATTAAAATATTACTCAACCAAATCTATGATTTTAGGCATGCAAATTCTGCTGAAATAATGAGAATATTTGTTTCAACTTATTTTGAAAAGAAAATTACTCAAGACAGTTTTATCAATGATATTAAGCTGCCACATTGTACAAGGGAATAAAGAGGCTTTTTTGGTAATCCTCCTATACCTCCTCAATCAGGAGCTC